GTGTTGGTTTCTCCTAGAGAAAATACATTCTGAAGAGGGGGGGTGAACTCGGAGGGTGAGAGGGGGGGGGGCGTAAGTTTGTGTTTCCTGCAAAGCAATTTTTTGGGGGGCATGATCCCTCTGAATTCGACGAAAGGGGCTTGAGAAGTGGGAGGTTCTTGAAGGGGACCTCCGGCGGGGGGGACGGGAACATCGAAGGCTTGAGAAGGGGAATGAGGGGTGCTTGAGAAGGGGGGCTTCTCAACGGAGTTTGAGAAGGGGCGTGGACGGTGGCTTGATAAAATGTGCTTGAAGGGGGCTTTAGAAAGAGTGTGCAAAATTCTCGAAAAGCTTGTTCTCAAGCCTCCTTGAAGCCTCGTTGAAAGCGAACAAATGAAATCGAAGCGTCGAGAAGCTACGTGAATTCGTTTTGGGTGGCCAAAAGCTTTAAAAACAAGACAAACTAACAAGCAAGAAAGAGAAGCCACACGAATTCGCTTCAGGGAGGTTAATAGCGAAGAAAAACATAAAGTCTTCTAAAGATGAAGAAATGAGATTTCTTGCGGGAGTTAGTTTCTTCTACCGGAAACAAACCCGGTGCTACAGAGTTAGTTTCTTACGCGGAAATTTACGCGGAAATAAACCTACTCCTGTTCTGGGTAGAGTTAACTTCTCCTTCCGGAAACAAACCCACCCTGTGGAGTTAGTATCGCACTCCGCAACTAACCTTTTTTGAGGGACTCAGTTTCTCCTGCCCCGGAAACAAACCCAGCTAGGTTCTCGCTCCGAAATTAACTCTGCTGCGGAAAGTTGGTTTGTCCTCAAACTAACAAAGTTGGGTCGGTCGTAGATGGAGACCCCAAACATGAAGGAGAGGGGGGAAGAGCCGCAGCTCACAAGGCTGGACGGACGACAGCAGTGGATGACAATCGCACTCACGGAGGCCAATGTCTTCGCTGAGGCCAGGATCGGTGAAGCCTGGTCGTGCATGACCTTTTGTGGTCTCACGTGGTCGGCCACAGCCTGGCCAGGAATTTCTGCGCGTTTAGTGCTAAAGCCCGTGCACCCTCCGACGCAGGAATCATCAGGCATCCACGACCGGCGAGTTTGTTGTTTTAGGAGTTTCGGGATACGCCCACATCGATCCAACTGCCCGGTTGCAGACAGAATGCATGCCTCTTGATTTGAGGCTCACAATGATTATACCGTAAATTATGCCGCTATCATGGAGAAACGCATTGTGTGTGTGTGTGTGTGGCCGCCGTGATTCGTGTATTTCGTGTGGCCGGTGCTTCTGTCGGAACTTGCTATCATACTTAACTGGCATTGTCAAAAAGATTTACTATGTGCCGGGTCTCGAATGCTGCCCACACAAAATGCAACACAAAACGAATTTCCAGCAAACACGGCAGTGTCCACATGAAACACACTGCTGCTGCTAAAGACCGTGCATTCTGAAAAGACTATCGTATCGGCGGATCCTGCACCCATGTGCTTTCGGCGCGAGATGAACCGAATCTTCGAAGCCTTGTTCGGAAAGCTCCAAACCGACTTGGAGCCTGTGCTCGCCGTCGGACGGTGCTCTTTCGGAGTGCTCAGAGGACTGGCAAGCTTGACGTTTGGTCCCAGCACAAGCAACCGCCTCGATTCTCCATGCCCGTACACTTTCCCCGACTGGCTTGCGCACCCGTGCCACCAGAATACTGACCTACATCAAGAAGGCCTCTGGTATCGAAGGCTGGCATGCTCCGAGTCGGCAGTCCGACCTCAAGCAGGGCTGCAACCAATGCACTGGCATGCCACAGCTTCAGCAAACGTGCACGGCATTACACCGGCACTTGGCCACTGAGTGTGTTCGCCACTTTGGGCCGGCGCTCCTCGAAACCGATGACCACCTACAAACTCGAACTGAAGTTTACTTGCAAAGCTCAGTCAATGAATGCTAGGGCTTCGCCCAGGCCTCCTTGGTGTGAGGGTGGCTACAGAGGTCTTCCGGTGTCTGACCCCTGAAGCGAAGCATGATCAATGGCAAGTCCAGCCGTGTGGAATGGAGCAAAAGCTTTAAATTCCTTTGCCTGGATGTCTTGCTGGACTTAGCCCCTGCTTGCAGCAGGTAGAAAGACACATCCTGCCCGGACGACCGTGGGTCAAGTTCATTCAAGTTCGAACCCAAAAAAACTCAACAGGAAGCAATTGCCAGCTTGTTTGCAAAAAGTCTCGCAGAGACGCCACATCGGAACATCTGAACTGCAGTCCGCCTGACGGCCCATGCAGCTGGCCACGTGCAGCGGTGTCCATCCAGCACCTCAGTAGCCGGATACCGTTAAGCGGGGACACTGTCTGAAATCCTCCATCCTTCAGCTCTCTGCATCGTCGTACATACACGCTGCCACAGGCATTACGAGATCATGTTCTTTCGTCCATTTCCTCCTGCTCCTCACCTTTGCACTGCGGCAGTCAGCCTATTCCGAGAGACTCAGAAGAGCCAACGTAGCCAGGAGAGTGCACCTCCCCGTGATTGCGAACCTCCACAAACCCGAAATCAAAGTTGAGGCCTTCAACAGCAACATCCTTGAGAACCTCTTGGAGGACAAATCTGGCAATCCGTCACCCCGGACATGAGCCCATGATGCATGCAGGGCCCGCGCAATCGACGGCATTAACATCAGTCGATCGAAGGACCAAGTCCTTGAAATTGGATGACATTCGAAAGCAGCAAGTGCGCACCCATGACAAGACAAGGTCCTTAACAACTTGATAGCTGCCAGCTCTGGCGGCAGCGTGTAGGAGGCTTGTGCCGTTGCTGTCGCAGGCCTGCGACAAGCCGTCCACTCGCTGTCACAGTGGTATTTCCAAGGCAGTCTGGCAGCACCTTGGGACTGGCGCCATAAACGAAACACCATCGAAGGCCAGCCAAGTTGGATGAGCCTGCCAGTAGCAAACGACGGGACGAGCTCAAGCCGCATGGACTGGCCTGCAAATCTGAAGCTGACCCGGTCCTGGGAGCAGCTACGTGTCTGGTACCGGGGGTACTGGTAGTCACTTAGAAAACTGAACCCGAAAAGCAAACCATCGACTATCTATCTATCTAGCTATCTATCTATCTCTATATATATATATTATATTCTATATTATATATATATATATATACATATATATTGGCCACCACTCTGTCCGAAGCGCTTGTGGCCTACAACCACGACTCTGAGGAAAGTGCCATCTCGCTGAGAGAGGCTGATGTCAAGGTGTCTTCGAAGAAGGCACCAGCCGGGTCGCAGCTGAAGTCTGTTTCCAGCTCGTCCAGGCCGCATGGCTTCCTCAACAGCAGCAGAGCAACTAAGACCCCGAGCAATTCACGTCTGCTCGCCGTGCTCGGACCCGCAGATGCACAGGCGGACGTTCTGCGTACACTCTCCGGTACTGACATGTCATGTCCCATGCGTAAGATCTCTGATGGCAGGGCAAGTCGTTTGAGACACGTGAAGCCAGTGGCACGAGAGGGTGATCTCTTGCAAGGTTCTGTTGTCGGAGCCCGAGTGCTTCTCGCAGCTCTCGCACTTCAAAGGACCTCTATGCTGTGCATCAGACATCGTCGACTTTCATGCGCTGAAGCCCTGTCTCCTTGACATTCCTTGGCCATCCAGCTGCTTGCTCTCCCGGCCATTTTGACTGTTGCTCGCCTTCCCGTCCCGTCTGATGCATGCGCTCATCCTAGCTCAAGTGCGAGTGCATGTGAGCCTGACTGTCACGGCGAGAGCTCTGCGGTTGCCGAAGCACACAGCCTGACCTGCTTATCCTCTCTGCTCAGCACATGCAAACGCAAAGCTAGGGTTGAAGTTCCTTGCTAAAGTGTTGCGCAGTGATGTCGGCGAAGAGAGTGCGAGATCATGTGAGGCATGCTGCGCTCACGGCCGAAGCCTTTATGGTTTTACATTCGAGCACCGAGCCCCAGAGAGGCCCTCAACCCTGCCGAAAGCTCCATCCTGCAGAAGAATGCTCGCGAGTCCTGCAAGCAGCTCTCTCCAAACGAGACCAGGCTACATGGTTGACATAAGATCACACGAGAAGGGATGCTGCTATCTTGGTCCTGGCGATCGTCGATGATGCTGCCCTCTTTTGCGCAGCAGCCACATGTGAGCTGAGCAGGGTCGAAGACAACAGATTTCAAGGACAGTGGCCAAGCGAAAACACGGTCGGCACGAAATGCCACGCAGTTTGCTCAGTCATGCCGGTCTCTGCCGTCAGATCCCGACGGGAATAGACCCGCACTGCTTTTGGATGTCAAGATCGGCAGGATCTTGGGCCACACATTGACGATGACATCAGATGCAGGTTTTGCCCTGCGTGACGTGTGAGCCCCTCTTGCCTGTCCGCCCATATGCGAGAGTTCTACAAGGAAATCATCTTTGCATCTTGTGTCGACCTGTGCCTGTTGCATCCTGCTGTGTCTTACATCTTACATCTGAAAATTCTGCAGCTACCCAGATGCTCATCTACCAGCTCCAACTGCCTGCTTTACCATGCTGTAATACGTGCCATCTAGACTCTGTCAGAAGCAGCTTGAAGAAATGGCTGGATTCTGCCTTCTTACGGCTGGCAGGAACAAACGCTGTCGACAGACCTGCCAGGTGTGATTCGAGCCACCATGCAAGGAAACAACAGGAGCAGCGCAGGTTTCATCACCAAGCAGCGACAGTCTCTACTGAGAAGACAGCGGAGGCCAATCAGCGCAGGAACCCATGATTTTGCGACCTGAGTGTGACCGCACCTGGTGCTTTGGCCGAAGCATTTCAGCATGAAAACTATGGGCCGCTATTCGCGTCGCCCGTGATCACAGAAACGCCAAGGTCTTCTCAGCGGTCTCTGCGTCGTATGCACAGCATGATGTACATCGAAATCTGGAATCACTTCACTCAGGCAGCCAGAGAGTGCTTCGGTCTAACCCCGCCCCTTCATCTTCAAGCTGAGGATTTGCATCTGATAATCCTCAGTGATCTCCTGACGAAACGACTTGCACGACTTCAAGGAGAGTCCATTTTCGGCACGTCCAAGGCCTTCAAGTGCTTCTGGAGCTGCTTTAACTGCTCCTCGGCTACGGTTGCCCGCACCAGAAGTGCTGACCTGCACAGGGTGGGATCGACTGTGAAAATCTGACCGGATACCGGATTTGACAAGGAAATCCCACGCCTTTCAGCCTCAAGATCACGGACGCTTTTCTCAAGGAAAGCCAGACGCTGAGCCTGAACAGCCGGTAAGATGAGAGGTGCTTTCTGATCTTCGCATCCGCAGGTGACCCTGAACTTGCAGAACTCAGCGCCTGCACTCGCCTGTCAGCAGGACTTTGCTGCTCGAGGAGGGCGACCCGAGCCTCTCTGGCAACAACAAGCCTCTTTTCCTCCTCATTCCCTGACATCCCTGACCTGCAATGCTCGATTTTGCTCTTGAAGGTCTGCCTGGCGGGCGACGACAGCATCTCATAATTTTCACACTCTCAACACGCCAGTTCTGACATTTGCCGATGCGTTCGCGGCGAAGCTGCTGGCATTCCGTAGGGCCTGAACCTGCCGACAATGACCAGGATTTTGCATCGTGCAGAGCTCCCGTCAGCCTCTTCGATAAGCCGGTCTTGGATCCTGGCTCAACTACCACCCCCACAAGGTGATCGACACCGACTGATGGAGAAACAGGAGAACAGAGTTTTTCCTCGAGAGGTTAAAGTAGCTAGCAGCTATCCTTTCTCCAAGCCCGCAAAAGTGGAAATTGTCAGGCCCCTTCAAGAGGCAGAACGGCGCCTTTGGGCCCGCATCCTTCTGAAACTCAAGACTCTTTCTTATTTGGTCATGTTGCCTTGCTGAATTGTCACATGCCGGCACGACTGTGTAAGTCGCCCGGGCTCCAAGGCCCCCTGCCGAGTGTCGGGCCTTGTCGCATCTCATGACAGTGAGCACTTCGCAGCTCGAGACTTGTGGGGAGTCCGAGTGGCGGCGTCGCCGGCCAACTCCCGGAGCCTGCGGAACACCACAGCTCCGAAACACCAAGGATGAAACGGATGACAAGCATCCGATGCACTGTCTGCAATGATCTTACGTTGTTGTTCGAAGAACGAAAGGGGGGGTTGTTGTTCGAGGAAACAACAACGGGGGTTGTTGTTTGCCAAGTCGGGGGAACAACAACCCCCCCCCCACCCCTCTATCGAAGGGGTATGGACACTTTTGCTCTTGCGTTGTGCACTGAAGGGGCCGGCCCCGAACCGGAGATTGGGGCTGGCATATGGAAAGCTCCCAAAGAAGTTTCACAAGACATGCTACGCCAAGAGGGGTAGCTCAAATCAAGCGGAGCAAAGCAGCTAGCAGAAAGCACCAACTCAGTACGGGGCACCAGATCAGAACAACGAAACCTAAACCAAGCCCTGGCTCGGACCGGGGAACTACGGAGGCATAAGGGCATAAGAGGTCAAACAGAACCCGAACCGAAACCACACCCAGCGAAAACGACGCAAGCAAAAAACCAAAGCCCAAGCTCGGAGCGAACCCGGTCCAGAGCCGGCCGCTGCGGACCGGAGGTGTCGTTGCGATCCCGCTACAAAACACGTGTGATCAAGTTCACTACCTCGTGCACACCAGTTGTGCTGAAGATCGTTTCCAACTAGCTTACCTCTAACCTTCAACGGTGCTTGAATTCCTGTGGGACATTTTTGGGTTCTGGTTTAGTGGCAAGTGAAGACTCTACATTCTCTGCATCATGGAGCACCCCGACGCCGTCACGGACTTTTCCCTCGAGGCTCGGCTCTTCCAACTTTGCTTCTTGGCCGAGCCCTTTTGTAGGTTGGTTCAGAGGACTTGTTCGGCCCTTTTTGTTTGACATGTGCTCTTTCGTTCTGGTCGGTCCCGGCAGGCCTGACCTGGAAACAACACAGCGCCGGGAAGCAGTTGAGGCTTCAAGCCACGTTCCATTCCCTAGGGCTTGCTCCTGTCACCTGCACTGCCCGCTTTGTGCGGGTTGTCACTTTGTGGTGCCGGGTGGGGTGTGAGATGTCATTCGTTTTGGGAAGGGGCCTGCCTTTGACACTCCGGATCATCCCCCATGGGGTTCACAGGCTTGACAGTAAACAATGTTGGGATGTGAGACACTCTTTGCTGCCTGCTTCCGGTGGCAAGTTTGCCGCACTGCTGCAGATACACTCGTGAACAGAAGAACCATTAGCTCATTAGCTTCACAATGTTCAAAAGTGCCAATCCACTGTAGACCATCAGCGCCATGCTCGTCCAAGCGACAGAAATAGCAAGCCACTGGCCTGGATTGGGGACAGCCCTAGTAAAGCAGCCCACAGAAAAGTCTTTCATGTAAGCACTTGCCTTGCAACATGTCCAAGCGAACTCTCGGTGGCCATGCCCCGAGTGGACACAAAGGAAACAACTCTTGCAGATTTCTTCGACCAGCCGTGGAACAGTTGACCCACAGGCAGGGCATGGCACGGGAGCAAATCCAACAAAGCATCACGAAGGCCCCGAGAAAATCAAGCTGGCGCCCGCTCAGTCAGGATCTTGGCTTTGTCATGCGGCATGCCAAGACAGCAGGAAGTCTTCTGCCGAGCGGATGACTCAATGGACGACCCTGATGACCCTCCACCAGCCGAGCCGGTGAGCTTTGAGATCGCTGATCAAACATATCCATCCCTTCAGGTGGCAGAACGGCCATGCGGGACTCAGAACCCATACATGGAGGGGGCGCCAAGCGCGATGCTTATTTAAGCACAAGAAACCTCGGGCCATAAAATTGCAACATCACAGGGAGGCAGCTGATCCCCCGCTGAGGGCCTTGAACCTACAGACCTGACGAAGATGGGAGACACGGGCACCGCTGCTTGTGGCCATAGCCACTTCAACCCTATCCCCTGTGTAACGTGGATAGAAAAGAAGAACTCAAGGAACATAGAACTCAACAGCAAGCCAAAGCAAGCGTCAGGATGATTAAAAGCAACGGATTTTCCTTTTGAACGGGGAGTGCTAAACTAACCTGCAAGCCCGAACCCCGCAAGAAATGACCGAAGCTGACGGCGCATGGGATAATCCGAAGGAAGATGAGGTGTTGCAACATCAAGCCATACGGTAAACCCTAAACGGAAGCGACATGCCACACCACAAACTGGCAAAAATGGAGGGGGGGGGGGGGCAAACTAATTGTCGAAGAGATGTATAGAAAGGCAAACCCTCAACGCTGAAGGACAACGAGTGAGCGGGGGTTCCTTTATGAGAAAAACAAACCCTACAGAGGGTTGCGGCAATGAACGGCATGATCTTGACGCAGAAGAACATACATGCGGCGGCGCAACGGCAAGACGGAAATTCCAATTGAGCTGCAAGACCTGACATTTGGAGGAGAAGTTATCACAAAAGAAATCAGGAGTTACACAACCTGAAGCGGAGAAACCTCGCACAACAGCTCGCTACAACCCTCGCAGGAATGGGAAGTGCAGGATGGTAAGTTGCGATTTCTGAACTCTACAGGCTGCCTGGTGTTACAAATGAAGCTTCCGATGGGATCTGCAATCAAGCAACCTCCAGATGGCTTGGCTGCCAGTCGCGACAGCTGCTGCTCGAAGTCGGCACGCACACTCTGCAGCTCGTCCTTAGGGCTTCAAGGCTCTGAAGTTCCTGACTGACATACACAAATAGCCGAAGGCCGGACTACAAACACTCCGGAACCTCTGCCGCAACGTTATTCCGCGAAGGCTCATTCACCACATGAAGCTCTTCCCGTGCTTGACGTTCGGAAACCTGCTCCGCTTGCAAGCTTTGCTGTAGCTCCTTCCCGGCGGACTGCAGTCGCCTCAGTTCTGAGGCGGCATGAAAGCACAGGCCGTGTAAACACCGTGCACATGGTGCCGTAGCCGCAACACGTAAGTGTGCGGGTGCTGGACAACATTGCATCGCTCAAGACATACTCAACTGTCGGTGTGACCTGCAACTGAGTCGGATGCGGACAGATTCGGAAACAAGGAGGACCAATGCGGAAGACCCAGGAGGCAAGTTCGGAAACATGGCCACGGCTCAAACGATAAAGAAGTCTCGAGTCTTCGGCCGCACTACAACAATCGGAACAGAGCGGATGCTCAGGTTCGGAGGATTGCACGGCGGGCCGCAAACCTTCTGTGAAAGCCCACCTACAGACTACTTCAACTGAGCTGAGCAAGAGCCTTCCTGTATTCATGAATACAGACGATGCCTCAATATTCCGCGCTACTGTCCTTCCGTATCCTTAACCCCACACCCAAAAGAACAAGCAGCTCCCCGGCTACAGTATAGTATGCGAGTTGTGTTAGGTGGCAAACCCGCAACCCTAAAGGAACGGCTGGCTGGCCAAATCCAGAACCCAAACGCAGGTGTTGGCTGCCAATCCCCAAACCCTAGAAGGAGATGCTTCTTGGCGAGTGCCAAACCCGAAAGGGAGATGTGGGGATCGGCAAACGATACAACGAGAAGGCACTGGCTAGAAAATCCCTGAACCGTAGCTTTGCCTGCATGTTGGGTGGCAAACCCTCGATCCGGGGATGTTTGTTAGTGGGCTGGCAAGCCTGAAACCCCAAACGGAGATCTTTGGCTGGCAATCCCAAACCCCCACAAGAAGAAGATATTGTTCGGCAAACCTCAAACCAGCCCAGACTGCCGAACCTGGTTCTCTGAAGCGGGACGCCGTTTTCAGAAACCCGTTGCTCTCAGTCGTCAATATTGTGTTCCCATGTGCCCGAGGATGCCCGAAAACGGATAGATAAGTCAGATTTGAGCTTGCCAACTCAATCGAGCGGCTCAAACTTTGCGCATGAGCTCAAACGGAAGTTTCGGCTATGTCAAAAAGGATACTGATGTGGAAGAGCCGAACTGCTCAGTGCCTAACTTAATCTTACTTTTGCAGATTCTTGTGTCTGCTGCTCTGGCAAGGATTCAGCCTCCCCACCAAGCCTTGCGGACGAATTGAGCTTAGAAGCAAGGAAGCTGTTGTCCAGTCGATGTGTTCCAGCCGGACCCTCGTTGCGATGGCGATGGCTATTGACAGTTATGGGCATTTCGTAGACGCGGCCTGTCAAGCTGGCGGCGGCACAGAGGTGTTTTACACCACCTAAACCTGTCCTCGCTTACCAGCTTCTCCTCCTAAATACCTGACAACAAACGATCGCGAGGGCTTCATTCCTGGCCGTGTTGGCCTTTCTCCGCTCGGCAGCAAAACTTAGTTTTAGTAAAGGGGGTGCGGAGCGATGCGATCTCGTGTCTGGCTGCACTTGCCTTCTTGAGGCCATGAGTTCACACCCTAAGACACACGAAACGCAGGTTAGTTGTCGTTGAAAGAACCTGACATAGTGCAAAACAGCAGCTTGACTTCTTGCTCTTCCAGGACTGCTTTCCTGACGGTGCAAAGATCAAGCAAATTTCATCTGAATACACATCGTGATGGTCGGCAAATCTGAGTTCGGCGGCCTCTGAACATCCGCAAGCTCTGTTTGCACTTCGCCAAGCTGTGAATCCCTGCTGGACTGCAGCTCTTGAAGCTCCTGTGCGGTTTTGAAGTAACATTGCTCAGACTGGTTACAGCACTGTCCTGCTTGGCTTCCAATGCAGCTTTGCCTTTCCTGGCCAGTCCACAACTTTTACCAATCTCGCAGCTTGAGCCATGTGCCTCAAACGGTGAATAATGACTATTAATTATTAGTCTGTCCATGACTATGACTATGACTGTGAGACTATGAGCAATCCGACGCTGAATTGTAAAGTCATGTGCCTGCCAAGCGTCTCTTCCTGGAACTGATGGCGAGATTGTATCAACTGCAACTGCCCATCGTCAAGGATCTGTCGGGCCCGGCTGCGCTCGTCTTCCAAAGCCTGCCTCCAACAGGGAGGCGGGGAGCTTTGGGCTGTGCCGGTCATCGACAAACTTGCTACCTGGCTAACTCTAATCAAAGAAAGCCCTCTCTCTGGCTTTCCTCTCTGGCTTGATCGACGGAAAATGCGAGGAAGAGTATGTGTCTGGCACAACCCTGAAGTCAAGAACGTCCAATCCCAGTGGTCATTAGCTTGCCCACCTGAGGCGCTCCACTTCCTCTCGAACAGTCTCTTGAATCTTGCCACGCTCCTCTGACCAAGTGCACACTGGCAGTCAAAGCCGCTCAAATGGACTTCAGTCTGAAGACTGTCTGCATGCTGTGACTTGGCACGAACCACATGCGACCTGACAGGCCCCATCCTCCGCGTGCTGCACGGAATCCTCCAAGCGCCCTTCTCGAAGCTCCAGTCGAAGTGCTTGGAGACGATTCTCCAGATCACCTGCGGGTCTCACTGCCGTTACCTCTATTCAACGCGAGGTCAGGAAGTATGAAGCAGTGCAGAAAGAGCCTTTGTCCACTTCTTTCTGAATCTCAGCTTGGATTTTGGCTTCTGATGCCGCATCCAAGCGCATACGGAGATCCTGTGACAGGGAAAAGCTCAAAACTGTTGGTCAATAGGGGTGGAAGCATTTCAACCCGATCTCCTCGGCCAGAGCCTCTGCATCTTGGAGTTTCTTGGCCTGCCAATAACACATGCTGACAAGAACCGAAACGATTAATGGGTCCAAGATCTCCCGCAAGCATGATTCTGATCTGAGGGCCGATTGTCAAACACGTCGCTTGAAAACTCTGCTTTCGGGGTGAGGAGAGCAGACGGAAAGCGAGCACGACAGACAAGAAGAAATAGAACAAAGCATCATTATGCGAAGCTCGCAGCCATTCCACGGCGTTGAGCTTTCCACAAGGACGTGACCTGCTTGCCCGTGAGGTCGGCACTCGTCTTTTCAGAAGATTCCTGTCATGGGTTCGTGTGGTTGTGGGAGTATTTTGGCACAGCAACCCAGCTCGCGGCATCAGCTATCGAGGATGTCTTCTCAGGTGTGTCCGAGCTTTATGCACTGTTTGAACCCGGATCTCAAGTTGCGATGGGAGGTATACTTGTCGCCCGGATGCACCAATATCTTCTGTGCGATCCCGGTCTGAAACCCAAGCACCCAACCCTTGTCACTCACTCAAACGTCCTTCATTTCTGCAAGCTCTTGTTCCAGCATCATTAGAAGAACGTTGTCTGTGTATTGCACCTCACCTGGGCGATGTCATTCAGACCCCATCCAGTGCGTGTCGGTTGCCAAGTGTTGGTCCATAGGCTCAACTCATCTTTGGCCTCGGAGGCCTCGATCTGCGCCTCGACCTCCAAGCGGTTCAAGCGGAGCTTAGCTGGCGGTCGTCCCCCTCTCTCAGCTCGGTGACTCGGGCCAGGACCAGTGATTGCATCGCCTTCAGCTGCTCCTCTTCGGAAGACATCAACCTCTCGTTCATTGACTCCTGCGCTCACATCATGTTACATCACCGGGCCACGAGTCCCTGGAGCCCTGCAAATCCCGGCCGCAGTGCCCCATCCTGACTCTCCAAGGCAGAAACGTACCGGTCCTGAAAATAATGGCAGGCTGCATCGCAACTATGCTGTGGATGGACTGACGCTCTCCTGGAAGTTGTTTGCTCTGTCTTGGCGAGCCTAGGTGATGGCAAATGCATCGTCCCCTTAAAATCTATGCAACATGTGCTTTTGCACGCAAAGCTACATCCGCCAGTCTTTGGGCTTCCTCCTTCTGCCTGCATGGACATTGATTTAACATTTGCTGTAAGCTGACCTCGCCTCTCGTGTTTCGCCAGTTCGCCTCTCAGCATTGGCGAGGCGCTTTTCCAGCTCCAAAACCAGGCTCCGAGTATCACGATCCACGCCACCCCCTCCTCGCTCCAGTGCCTAGCATCTCCCACACATGCTGATGAAAAATCTTCAGCACAACACACATAATGTCATTTGTTTCCCGAGTCTCAACAAAAAGTTCGTGCCAAGACTGCCAAACATGCACCAACGGGCCTGCTTCAGCATCAAGCGCTCGGAACGGACTGCTCTTGCCCATCCCGCAACTCGATGGTCCTGCGTTACCTGGCAAAAACCACAGAGCGATGTCGTCAATCATCGTGACACGTTGCCCTACCAGAGTGCAATAGCCAAGCAGCTGGATTAGTATGTATCTTGCTGAAATCTTCCATGAATTCAAGCAGCGCTATGCCTCGGGCATACGGCAGGTCCAACGAACCCTTCAGCCTTCAGCTATGCTGCAATCGTCGCGTCTCAAAACAGGCAAGGCTGAGAAGAATGCTTATAGCAGGCTTTCCCTGCGCGACGCAGAAGAGGAGATGAGCCTCGACACTGCCGCCTGCAGGGCGCAAAAGCAAAAAAGCAAAGAGAATGCATATGTCAAACGGCTCTAATCCTGCTCTCTCCGCCCTGTCCTGTGAGAAGATCACGAAGAAGCCAGGTCAGGTAGGAACCGTTCACGTCGCCAGGCTCACCGCTTCTCCACGACTTGACTAAGCTGCGCATGTGGTACACCTCGGCATCGAAAGAACACTGGAGAATGAAGTACTTTGACTTGAATCTCAGCCGTAACACTCCGCGATAGCGATCGTATCCCTCGCGAAGCTGGACAAGACCTTTATCCTCGCAGACGGAATGTAGATCAAACAACCCCGCCAAGTCTCATTGGCCCCACTCACAACGCTCCTCTGCTAAACAATCCATGATGGCTGACTCCAGAAGAACGAAGCGCCCGTGCAGTCCCCATCCTTCGTAGTAGTCTGCCTGTGCGGATTGTACTGTCAGAACTACAGGATCCGCCAAGCCTTGTTGAGCTTCGACTGCGCACCTGGGTCACGTCGATGACGAAAACTGCACTCGTCTGGTGTCTCTTCTCCGGGTCTCGACGTCGTTGCGCCGCTTCGACATATTTCATGAATTCCTTTGGTGTGGCAACCCGTGACAAGTGAACCAAAGAAAGAGCTATAACAATCCGCGAGCCAGCAGGAATGGCAGCATGCAACTTGCCTTGATAGCATACTCGGCAGTAGGTGCATTCAAGCTTCATCCGCAGATGTTGCGCTGGCTGTTCGCACACCTGGGTTGCATTAGAGGTGTTTGAAATGAGACCATCGCAGCTCTTCTCACTGAAATTCGATTATTTGTGAGACGAACCCAGAGGAAGCTTCCGGCCTTCAACCATCACACCCTGCGGGAGGTCCATCAAACGCGCAGCTTCCGGAGAGTCGGTGAGGAGGTCCAGGATTGTATCGCCAGCAAGTTGGAAAGACTGCAACCTCGCACGTCGAAGCATGGCTGCCATGGCTTCGGTCTGAGGATGCAGCGACGAGATCAGGTGCCTCATGTGGTACGTATATCCAACTGCCCCATTTGCGCGATGACTCGCCTCGGGCATCCACAGACGAAACAGATCGAAGCAGCAGCTTTGTTTGCGCGGGTGGATCGGAATGATGAGAAAGTTTCCTCTAGTGGTCGTGTCTGTTATCGGAGCTGGTTCTGGCACTCACGAATGTGCACTCCCGAAATTCTCTTGCGCTTTTCTGTGTGACAAGAACCACCCTGGCCTGGCGCTCGTGCAACTCCGACGCCAGCTGCCACACAGCCGCTGCAGCAAGCCCTTCAGCACCATCCATTAAGTCGGCCTTTGTGCACACGGTGGCAGTAAACCATCCTCTGGCAAACCCGACGAAGGATGCCTGTGCTCCACCGGAAACTCCAGCCACAAGCAGAACGGCATCTGTACCTGCACTTGCACCAATCGACTCCTTTGTTCAGAAGTGCTTCTAAGCCCATGACCACTCAGAACAGCCTCCAATGTTGGTGCTAAATCGCACATGATCACGTCCTCTGGTTGACAAAACAGTTCATCTTCTCTCTCAACATTCCGGCTCTGGAGTCCTCGTTCGTTGAGTCTGGTCCATGGACCATGTCTGCCCGGAATTCCCTCCAGAATCTGACACACTGCATGCGACACCCAAAGCATATTCGGATCTCCCTTGACAGAACTGCCCCGGACCTGGCCCGCAAGGCTTTGGGATCTTTGACCTCCACGAGTGTCCCCACCGCGGTGACATCCGGACTGGTTTCGGAGTAGTCCTCACGGTTTGCATAGCATACGAAACAAGACCACAACATCGCGTGCAAGAATCTCAATTGATGTGGCGTTGTCCTGCCATTCTTCGTCCCATACCCAAGGCGACCCAACTTTCACAGAACATCGCACCTCGACGACAACAACAACAACAACACCGACAATCTGCTCGTTGGCATGACAATGTAAACTGCTCCGCAAACTGAGACGGGTACCTTGGAAGGCTTCAACAAAGCATCATCCATGTAGCGTACATCCCCGAATTAAAGCAACTCGGTAAGAAAGCAGATAATGTCCTCAGAATCTGGTTGGTTCGCTGCTGCAACACGAAATTATTTCTTGGTGCAAGCATACAAGACATGCGAAAGCTCATGGCACCGACCTGTCTTGGACAATCTATTTCCGCAGAGCTCTGGAATTCGTCAACACGAAGGGTCAACAATCCAAGCATTGCGTTTGACTGCATTGTCCGCATATTAACAACCATTATGCACACTCTCGTTCGTCGAACGTTGCCTTCCACTCATCAAAAGTTTTACTGATGTGAGGACATGCATACTTGTGGGAATTCGGAAAGAGCAAAACGTAGGAGAGAAGAAGGGCGGGGTGTTGTTTGCTGATCACATGGCAACAACAGCGACGATAGTCAATGCACCGCGAGCGTTCTAGCTTCATTTACGTTCTTCATCATTTGGCAGTGCACAAGGATGGGTGCATCCTCAGCTAGGCTCCTAGAGTCCCCTGCACTGCAAAAAATCATAACGATGTTGGAGTGACCCTTCTGTTCCCATGTGCTAAGAAAGTTCACACACACACACACCACACATGTGGGGTTAACTACAATCAAGCGATACCGTTCACTTCCTTGTAGATTGCAACGTTGTGGCTGTGCTAATGGTGGGTATTGGTGACGTAAAGTCATGTGAATGTTATGGATTGAGACTAACGCTCTGATTGCCTTAATATTTTGCAACGAGAGCGCAAATTGGACTGTGTAGCTGGCTCTCACGCACAAAGTCCTTTTATGGCGGCGTTTCGCAAGCAATTGTTTGAAACAAATAAAGAAAATTAGTGGAAGCGACGTCCAGCGAAAAAATGCGTTTTTTTCGCTATTTGCTTTGGAACCTTACTGCAACCTGCCAAAACAAGCCGATAAGCCTTTGAAACAGAAGCTGCATTTGGAACTTTTGAGATTCTCCGAGCCCTCAACTTTCTCAAGCCAAACCAAATCTGGTTTTAAATTTGTGCCATTGTTAAGGTACATTGGCTTTGTGCTTAAGAGGTCAATAAAGCAGCAGCCAGAGCGTTTGAACCCCCGCTAAGGGGTGAAACGCCCTTGGCTGGAACCAACCCGTGGCTGGAACAAAACCCTCCCTGGAACAAGCCCCTGGCTGGAACAAGCTCCGGGTTGGAACAACCCTCAATAAAAAAACAGCATGCTCTGACTGGAGAGACCTCTTGGCTGGAACAACCCCCGGCTTGGAAAAAGCCGTGGGCTGGAACAAAATCCTTGCTGG